GCCCAAGTGCATCTGAATTGCTTAATGCTTTGAACAAAGTTTTACTTTACCATTTGTTGAATCCTGTGAAAGCTCTTTCCATGGAAGCTAAATGCTTGCTCAAATAGGACCTTATCTTCAACTGTCCACTCATCAGGGAAAGGAGTGAAGTTAGGGAGATCCGCAAGGGACTTCTCAATGTTGTGTTTATGCCAGAACAACATGCCGAGAGCCTTTAAAAGGAAACAATCCCTTTTTGTTTTTAGCCAGTTTCATGAAATGCTGAAATAAGTTACTTTTTTTTCTGATTGACTATCAGAATCCCTTCTCCAAAGTATTTCCAATTTTAGACTTCTTCCATTGCCTCTATGTACCACAAGATACAAAATTCTCTTTGGAGACTGTATGAAGAGTGGGCACATTTGTACTCCATTAAAGCTATGATATCTAGACAATTTAAGGTTGGCATGGCAGCAACATTTCTGAACTAGCATAAGCTGGCTTGGTAGGCATAAAGCTAACCCGTTGGTTTCTTTTACAAACGTACATAATCTACACAGTTCCTTATAGGTCTTCAAGCCTATACTAACAGCCCACTGAAAAAAAAAAAAAAGAAAAAAAAATACTTTTCAGCAGCCAGGGGGTCATCCAAAATGCAAGTTTGAAAGTTCAAAGTGAGAGTGGTCTTTCTACAACTCTCCAATCCACAAATAACAGCACGGCCACTTCCATGTCATGTGTACCTAATAAGGAATGGAAATTTAAGTATACTTTCGAACATCATTTCATTTCTCAATATTCTTAAAGAATGTTAGACTAATTGAACTTACTGCCAGAGAATCAATGACACATTTGATGCCAAGTCTGGCATGGCAATTGGGAAATGTAATCCACTTGGTTTCAACCATGCAGTGCAGAAATGATCACCAGTTGTTCATCAGCTCTCCAGACCCCTGATTACAGATCTTCTAATAACCTGGACACAGCAAATCTATTCGCTTGTTAGAAGGGCAAGAATTAAGCAGCACTTCTTGCATGGATATTTTCTATTCCCCTGGAAACTGTCTACAAATATTTTCTACCACAAGTTCCTTTGAAAATCTGCCTGTTTTGCAGGCTCTTTAGTGAGATCCAGAGTTCCCTCTTTCCCCTAACATAGACCAAACCACAAACCAACATGACCAAACTGCAGGTATTTTAGATGTGAATGTTGGCAGCCTTTCCTCCTGAGAGCACCTCACTATTAAGTTTTTGCTATTATGAGCTTTCATCCTCCAAAACAAGATTACACAACAGGTACTGGTACACCAAATATTTATTTGGAATAGGCAACCTTGCTTTTACATAAATTATAAAGAAAATTGCAGCAGAACTAAGTCAGTGTAAACCAGTAGAGTTTTACACTTTGCTTTTTATGGAATGGTCACTAGTTTCATAAAACAAATTGTGAACTTATGATTTTTTATTACTCTCAAACCTAAAATCTTGATGATTTTTTTACCTTTGGGAAAGAAAAGTCATTAAAGTTGGCTTGCCTTTTTTTTCTTTTTTCTTTTTTTTTTTTTTTTTTAAGATATGCAAGAAACTTTTACAATGCTGTCCCTGATTGCCCTGTATGATTCAATATTTTTCATATATAAATTCTAGCATCAAATTTGTAACCTCCTTGCCTGAGAAATGGTTTAGCTAAGTATACACACACAATTGCATGACATGCCCAGTGTACCAAGAAACATACCAAACCTTTCAAAAGTGCACATTACAAGCTGAGCATGTCATGAAAACAAAGAGCTCAATCTTTTGCAGAGAATCCAGACCACAACTGTATGCAGATCCATTAACTGCAGTGTTTGCTGCCGTGCCTGAAGAGAAACAGCGTTAATTAATGGTAACCAAGGGGGAAAGAAAAAGTTATGATACACTTTTACATTAAAAAAAATCCTTTAAATCAGCCCTCCTGTTGTGTAGCACTTACCTGTTCCACATTGTATCCATGTTTTTCTTTTGCTATTGCAATATATTCATCCACTGTAACAGAGCAATGTCAGAATTATTGCTTAGTACTGTTAGTTCTGCCATAAGATCATATAGAATTAGCCATCTAACACGGGAACACTCTCTAGGTCCCCCAAAACATTTAAAATATTCTTAACCGTATTCATAATAAGTCCAATGACTTAAGTTTAAACATTGCATTATGAACTTTATGCACAAGTTTATTTGCAGTGAAAAAGATGTTCTCTTCCAAAGTTTCACTGCCTCAAAGTCATGGAAGTTCATTTATATAAAAAGGTGATTTTAAAAAACAGTGTTTAAACACTGTTCATATTTAAATATTTTATTTACCTGTTAATACCTAAAGGTTTGAGAGACACCTGTATAATTATACAACATGGCTTGTGTGATTTTAAACAAATGCTTCAACTACAAAATAAGAGAAAGTAGGAAGGCAGCCTTTTCCTTTCCTGGTAGTTCTCTAAATGAAAAATAAATGGATTTTTTAAAATATTTACTAATTTTAAACTTCTCTGTAGGTAAAACAGTTAACAGACATCAGAAGCCATTATTCACAGTTATATTTAAATATTCAAATTCCTAAGCAGACTTACACTTGGCATCTGGAATATTATGATACGGAGACCATACAAGCATCCCTCCATTATCTTTATCAGTGTATTTTGTAGCACCTGTAAGAAAAGTTAAGTCTTAGTATGTATATATATATGACCTACAGAACAGGACAGTAGGTGAAGGTGGGCAACATTAAGAAGGTCAGCCCAATCAACAAGGTGATGGAGGAGAAAATAAGGAATAATGTATTATTTAATTAAGAGTAGGGTTCAGGTTTGGCCATTCAGTGTCTCAGAAAGGCCAACTACAGCCTGATATTAAATGGATCTTAACTACTGTAATTTGTGCACTGAAGTTCATTTCTAAAGTTGGCAAGGATGCCAAATTGCAGCTATTCGTGTAGTCGAACTAGAACAGTTCTTAGACAGGTGTGAAAGTCTATCAGTGAGCGTCTATCAGAAAGCTGACACTACTATGACCACAGGAGTATCTAGATCTACTAAGCTGAGTTAGGCTTCCCTGGCATAACAAAACTGTGAGAAAGCAAGCTGAACGCTGATGACTATCTCAGATCCTTCCAGCAAGGAAACTACAGTAACAACTATGCCAGAAACTATTTTGTTCCCGATGCATCTCTCTCTCATACATATCTGTACCCACATTCAGAGCAAACTGAATCGCATAGTCATACAAGAGACTCAGAAGTGAAATTAATCCAATTTTGTTTTTCCAATCCCCTTGATGCCGCTAAGGGAAACAGTCCAAATTACCTTACCTGTGAGGAAGACAGAACAATTCTTGTAGAACTGATGTGACTTTGTACAAAGTACTGCAGATTCCAGAGATTCTGATTTCCAAAAAAAGCCATAAAGCACCCAGTGCAAGCAAAGCGGCACAAAAAAAATATCTTTTAGTACTTAGTATCTAGGAGCAAGCTCCTTAAAGTAACCTAATTAAAATGGCACTCGTTTGTAAAATATTAGGAATGCAGTATTTTCAAGAGTGATGCAAAAAAGTTATAGGCATATAATTTCTCTCTTGCCCAGTCAATTTTTATCTGAACTACCTGACAACTATCCTGCTTTCCACTGATTAGCTAAAAGAAATGGAGAACAGCATGATTATCAAAGAATACAGCAGAATTTTGAGTTGTGACCATGAAATGTCCAAATCTAACGAGTATACCCTCATTTTTTCCCTTCAAAAATATAAGACACTCTGTAATTTATGCAATTTATATCACAGATAATATCAAATATCAAAAGTTCTTAAGAACTTAGCTTCAGAGTCACATTACTTGCACTTAATATTTTACAAAGCTTTGAGATCACTGCATAAAGTGTGCAATGATATAGTTTAGCTGTTAAGAACAGAGCTAAGGATATTTTATAAGCTAAAACCTAAAGAGAACAACAGTAGCAACAACTTTTTCTCCTGACCTGAAAGATAGAACATGTGAATGTTTTAAAAGAACACTCAGCTCCAGATGGCTTCTGCTTCACAAGGAAATTGCTTAGCTTAGGCTTGAATCTCATTTAAAGCACACAAGTAAACATAGAGCCCACCTCAGGTGGAAAAGTGGATCATCTGGTGACGTTTTTAAACTCATTGGAGAGACTGTTGTAAAATCCTGAAGAATTTCAAGCCTCAAACTCCCCTTACCCACCACCTTCAGTGCTGGTCATTTAAGGAAAAGAAGAGACTGAGTTGTTCAATTACATACAGCAAACAGTACAAAGTCTACCAAATGATTGTTTCTCAAACATATAAGAAAGAAGCATTTAAATAGTTTATTTTGCACAAAGAAAGATCTTTTGTTCAAATTCTGGTCAAGAATCACTCCTTCATGAGATGTCAGTAATGAAATTCTTACAACGCTACATAAAGTTTTTTAATGTTTTATAAGCTAAATATTTAATATTTAAGAGCACAAAACAAGTTCTTGTTGTAAATCATAGCCAGAATATTAACCTAGGTCTTTCATCCCTAACAGGACCACTTGATTTATTTGCTCAGGGGAGAAGTTACAGGTTTCTGGCAGTCACCTCCTGTCAGCTGCCTACGTTTGCAGGCTGTGAGCACCGTGTGCATACACACACTGCACATTTCTGACACTGCAGAGCATGCTGGTACTTTGTGTCATCAGCCCTGAAGGGGACCAGGACTGAGACGCAGATCTGGGTAAGGAGGGAGGCGGAGTCCGCTTAGCTGAGCTTTCAAGCTGCTCCCCCTTCCCTCCCAAGGACCTAAGGTGACAGGATTGGCAGCGGAAATGAAGAGCAAGAAAGCTCTGAGAGCAAAAAGGAGACACTCTTCCTGAACAGCTTCCCACTTTCTGCCACAAGCCAGCGGCCTGCAGACCTCCACAGAGCTAGCAGTGCTATAGGGCGAGTATCAGCCTAAGAGAGAAGCTCCGAGTACTCTGTTGGCTCCATGATGCCCTGTTCACCTCTTCAGCGTGATCCTCAAAGAGGCTAACAGGAATTGGGGTGATGAGAAACATGTGTCTAACAGATGATGAAACAAACATCCAAACCCTCTATATTCCCTAAATATTACTTGATGGCTAAGGCTACTTGCGTAGGGAATGCCCTCTTCTATAACATTCACACAACTAACCAAAACGAATTCCATCAGAAAAGCTCTTTGCAAAGCTGTGCTATTTTTCCAGCAGGAAACAGACAGCAGACGCTTCAGATGGACCTCCATATGGCTGAAAGGAAAGGGTGACAGCGGAAGGACGGGATGCATACAGGCAAGCAGGTGCTTGTGAGACAACATCCTGTCCTCAACACAGAGCATCCACAGCTACAGGGATCCCTCCATCTCTGTATGGAAGACCATGATGCATCTTTTAGAACTGCATCTTTTCCTCCCTGCCTCAAGAGCGTGAAGGGGTAGCAGCCCTCCCTCATCCTGCAAACAAAAAAATGGTATCTCAGAGCCAACATGATCTTTATCTGCAAGATCCATTCTCACTTTGGACAGCAGATGAGAGGCAGTGGTTGGAAGCAATAGGCAACATATTAACTAAAGCATGTGGAGAGAAGGGAGAGAGAGGGGGAGGTGAGAGAAAAAAAACAAACACAACAAAACAAATGAACAAACAAACAAACAAACAACCCACAGAGCTCTACACTGGGAAGGAAGAGAATGACCATTAGCTGGATCTCCCTCCGCCCTGCCATACACCTGCAAACTGCTTCGGGAAGGGGATTTGCACTTCAGCTGCAGCCGTCGCTCTCCTGCCAACACCACTCAGAAAACGGGACTAACTGGAGGCGACCCAGAATTTATGGGCATTATCCACTGCTTCCATAGGGAATAACTGCAGTGACAAATTGACACTTTTAAAATTTTGGCTCCACATCAGAAAATGGATAAGCTGGGAAGATGCTGTTCTGTACACAAATAAACAAATACCAAAGAGTAAGATGAAAGTCTGGAAGCATACAAGACTTAAAAGAGGGAAATGGCAATTTAAAAATACAGTGGTTGCCCACATACAAAATGCTTTTCTCCACTTGAGCAGAATTTTTCAGAATAGGAACAGAACCACAGAAACCAACAGGAGAAATAATTGCATTTTGAGGATAACGGACTGAAAGTCTTGGAGGTGGGAGAAAAAACATCAGGGACTATGAGGACAGATGAGAAGGGAGCAAATTTAAAATTCTTTTCCACAACACTTAATAACTTCAATATAGGAGAGCCTATTTTTATGTAGACCTATTTTTATGTACAAAGGTTAGGAGGGAGAAAAAAGTTAAAAGGACAGAAAGAAATGGAATTCATAAGTGACCTTAAATAGTATAACACATTCTTCTCGACCACCCCTTCCAAGAAGTGAGTGAATGGAAAAGCAGCATTTAAATAGGCCAAGTTCACAGTAAAGCCTTTGGAAACTCCAAATGTACTATGACCTGCCAGAGCTTGGCCCGTATTCTCCCTTTATTCCCAGGGCAGCAGAACTTCTCTAGCAGTCATCTTGTGTGCATCGCACAAGCACGGGGCAGACACGGTAACATCCTGCTATATTCTAAGTGCTCCAGACAGCCAGAAAGCAGGAGAAATACTTGCACCTTGAGAATAAGCTACCACTTAAAAAGAAAAAAAAAAGCAGGAAGAGATGAAAATCTGGAAAGCAGAAGATGGTCTATGCACTTGGTAAATTACTTAAGAAGATTCAGAACACCTCTTTTAGTCAAACCTTTTCATGGCAAACAAGCATAGCTCACAACTGTACAACAGAATGGCAATTAAACATCTCTTCCCCAATAAGCTCTAGCTTAAGAGCTGCCTGGAAAATGGGGTTCAAAGCGGAAGAGATGGTGGGAGAGTAATGTTTCAATTAATTCCCACTAGTTGTTGCTTTGACCCCAGATCCATTTCCCCCAGGAGACACAAAAATCAACTGACTTTTCTTTAAACAATGTATTTCATAGACAACTTCAGATATAAGAGTTTACTACTGTCACAACCTTAAACATTAACATTTTATTCCTCAACTTACAGCAGTAAGCAGAGCCTTGCTCTCTGCAATAAACATTGGCCAAGTGAGACCAAATACCATCCTGCAAGCATTTATTCTACTCAATTTATCATTCTGTGTGTGTACCAGAGGGAAGATTTTGTATCACAGACTTCTATCTAGTTTCATCCATTACCAATTCCCTTCTCCCACTTATTTATCTTAAGAGGCTTAACAAAAAAAAGTATCCATTGCAGAGTGTTTGTGGCATTGTAACTAACACCCTTCTAACTGATCTGGTGAGTCCTTCAAAAGGGGCTCTAGAACAACTCCAAGAAACACCATGCAACATTGAAGTCTGTGGATTACAGGCAGTACATATGCCCACATATGCAAACTTAGCAGCTTGATGGAACGTCCGTTACATAATTTATTACTAAAACTTTTAAGTGTGTGTAGGAAGACAACAGGAGAACACTTCCTGTCCAACACTGTACCTACCAGATGATGCTTCAAGGTTCAGCTGTTTCCTCTCATGAAAGCATTTACTTGCCAAGATCTCCTTAGATAACTAACCTACTAAGATGCTACATATGCACTTTTACATTTTATGGAACTGTGTTTTAAGATTTAGCTGTTAAGAGCTATTAGTGCCTATTCTTACTGAATCAACATATGCACACTGATAAGAACAATACAATATAGGAAGACTTTCTAAGGAAAGATTTCCATCATTAAGGAACTCTTTCTTTAGTTACTGAGATTAATATATATTCGTTTTATTAAAAGAGGGGAGCATCAGTAGTTTTTCTCCTCTCCAGAGTACACTTACAAGCTCCAAAAAGTCTCCCTAAATAAGAGAACACGAATTTAAGCTCTGTAATTACAAGTGCAATGATGCGGAGACATACTTGGTTTACAGATTTGAGACTACAGAAGCTCTGTTGGCCTACGAGAGCTGAAAAATATTCTTTTAATCAAGAGGAGAAAAAAATACTATGCGTTTTTCTAATCAATGGGACCATTGGTAAAAACAAGTCCAGGCTATTGGAAGTTACCATTTCTGTTTATTTATGCAATGTAAAAAACAATGTGGAAGTGGCATTATTGCCTACACTACGCACTCCTCTTTAGGCAAGAGGTTGCCCTTATGCCAAGGCTGCAAGGAAACGTGCCCATTTAATTCATGCCACCCTCCCCTTCTCTTTTCCCTGTGCCCATCAACGGGGGCTCCAGCTTTAGGGGTCACTACGTGAGGAGCTCTGGCCCAATCCTCTTCCGGTAGGAAACCATCTGACACCAATGGAGCCTGTTTGGAGA